GATTCTTAGGAAATCCATATTATTTGGATGTCTCGTCTTATTCATCTGAGGCTGCATTATATTTAAGTTTTACATATGTTTATTTATTGAAGAACATGCATTTGGATTTTTTTTTTAGTGAAAAACATTGTTGTTTGTTATTGCACAGCTAGATGCAAGTATTTTAAAATAACACAGTTTTTTTCTTCATTTTAATTATACAATCATGATCAAAAATATTGGCATCCCTGCATTTATGTCACACAATGCACCACTTCACCCAAAAAATTGTTACAATTACAAACGTTTAGGCTTTCTCATGTTTATTTCTTTTTTTTGTATTGGTATGACAGAAAAAGTGCAGAAACAAAAAGTCAAATCTGACACATTCCACTCACAACCCCAAAAATTGACTGGACAAAATTATTAGCACCCTCAATTTAATATTTGGTAGCACATTCCTTGGAAAAAATAACTGAAATCAATGGCTTCCTGTAGCCAGCAATGAGTTTCTTACACCTCTATTCTGGAGTTATGAACCACTCTTCTTTTGCCAACTGCTCCAGGTCTCTCAGATTGAAAGGGTTCCTTTTCACAACTGCTATTGTAAGATCTCTCCACAGTTGCTCTATGGGATTGAGATCCGGACTCGTAGCTGGCCAGTTCAGTACTCTCCAGCATTTTCTCTGAAACCATTTCTGGGTGCTTTTAGACATATACTTTAGGTCATTGTCCTGCTGTAAGATCCATGACCTCTGATAGAGACCCAACTTTCTGACACTGGGCCCTATTTTGCATCCCAGAATTCTTTGATAGTCTTCTGATAGATTTCATAATGGCATGTACTCAGTCAAAACATCCAGTGCCTGAAGCAACAGAGCAACCCCAAAACATCAGTGAACCTCCACCATGTTTGACTGTAGGGACTGTATTCTTTTCTTTAAAGGCCTCATTGCTTTTTCTGAAAACAGTAGAATGATGGGCTTTACCAAAAGCTGTCATTTTGTTTTATCTGTCCATAGTACATGGGATAGCACAAAGGAGCTGATGTACATTTATTAAATAAAACAACACACACCAAGAAATTTAACTCTCAAATATTTATTGTATATTTTATTGGCCATGGTGTTATTCAAAGGTAACCTTAAATGATTAATACATACATATCCAAGAAAAATATCTAGCCATCCTGGCTGAAACCAAAATAACAATTATCAATACAGTCATGTTGTCCATCCAGATACACTGGACGACTAAACTTCACCAGCTGAAGACAAACATAAACTGGATGGCTGAGGCCTCATCAACACTAGAGATGAGCGAATCGAACATGGCGAAGTGGAATTCGTTTCGAAGATCAGGAAAAATTCGATTCGCGCCGAATCCGAAAATTAGCAAACTTCGGATGCACGAATCGAATTTTCCCAAAAATGGCGGCGACATGTGTGGCGACGGAGCGGGGATCTCTGGGAAGGCGCGCAGACAAGGCGCGCTGACCCATAATGCATTCATTCATGACATGTGATCGCATTAGCCAATCAGCAGCCAGCCAGCCAGCACTGTGTAATGGTGGAGCTATAAATTGCGGCCATCTTACAATTCTCCATTAGCCTCCGGTCATTCAAGAGAGACAGACCTGTCTGTATTAGGGACAGAGTTAGGGCCAGAGAGACTTTAGGGCCACAGAATCGTTACTTAGGGACACAGAATCGTTACTCAGGGACACAGAATCGTTACTCAGGGACACAGAATCGTTACTCAGGGACACAGAATCGTTACTCAGGGACACAGAATTGTTACTCAGGGACAGACACAGAATTGTTACTCAGGGACACAGAATTGTTACTCAGGGACACAGAATTGTTACTCAGGGACACAGAATTGTTACTCAGGGACACAGAATTGTTACTCAGGGACACAGAATCGTTACTGAGGGACACAGAATCGTTACTGAGGGACACAGAATTGTTACTGAGGGACACAGAATTGTTACTGAGGGACACAGAATTGTTACTGAGGGACACAGAATCGTTACTCAGGGACACAGAATCGTTACTCAGGGACACAGAATCGTTACTCAGGGACACAGAATCGTTACTCAGGGACACAGAATTGTTACTGAGGGACAGACACAGAATTGTTACTGAGGGACACAGAATTGTTACTGAGGGACACAGAATTGTTACTGAGGGACACAGAATCGTTACTGAGGGACACAGAATCGTTACTGAGGGACACAGAATCGTTACTGAGGGACACAGAATCGTTACTGAGGGACACAGAATCGTTACTGAGGGACACAGAATCGTTACTCAGGGACACAGAATCGTTACTCAGGGACACAGAATCGTTACTCAGGGACAGACACAGAATCGTTACTCAGGGACAGACACAGAATTGTTACTCAGGGACACAGAATTGTTACTGAGGGACACAGAATTGTTACTGAGGGACACAGAATTGTTACTGAGGGACACAGAATTGTTACTCAGGGACACAGAATCGTTACTCAGGGACACAGAATCGTTACTCAGGGACAGACACAGAATCGTTACTGAGGGACACAGAATCGTTACTGAGGGACACAGAATCGTTACTGAGGGACACAGAATTGTTACTCAGGGACACAGAATTGTTACTCAGGGAAACAGAATTGTTACTCAGGGACACAGAATTGTTACTGAGGGACACAGAATCGTTAGGGACACAGAATTGTTACTCAGGGACACAGAATTGTTACTCAGGGACAGACACAGAATTGTTACTGAGGGACACAGAATTGTTACTGAGGGACACAGAATTGTTACTGAGGGACACAGAATTGTTACTGAGGGACACAGAATTGTTACTCAGGGACACAGAATTGTTACTCAGGGACACAGAATCGTTACTCAGGGACACAGAATCGTTACTCAGGGACACAGAATCGTTACTGAGGGACACAGAATCGTTACTGAGGGACACAGAATCGTTACTGAGGGACACAGAATCGTTACTGAGGGACACAGAATCGTTACTGAGGGACACAGAATCGTTACTGAGGGACACAGAATTGTTACTCAGGGACACAGAATTGTTACTCAGGGACACAGAATTGTTACTCAGGGAAACAGAATTGTTACTCAGGGACACAGAATTGTTACTGAGGGACACAGAATTGTTAGGGACACAGAATTGTTACTCAGGGACACAGAATTGTTACTCAGGGACAGACACAGAATTGTTACTGAGGGACACAGAATTGTTACTGAGGGACACAGAATTGTTACTGAGGGACACAGAATTGTTACTGAGGGACACAGAATTGTTACTCAGGGACACAGAATTGTTACTCAGGGACACAGAATCGTTACTCAGGGACACAGAATCGTTACTGAGGGACACAGAATCGTTACTGAGGGACACAGAATCGTTTACTGAGGGACACAGAATCGTTACTCAGGGACACAGAATCGTTTACTCAGGGACACAGAATCGTTACTCAGGGACACAGAATCGTTACTGAGGGACACAGAATCGTTACTGAGGGACACAGAATCGTTACTGAGGGACACAGAATCGTTACTCAGGGACACAGAATCGTTACTGAGGGACACAGAATCGTTACTCAGGGACACACACAGAATGTTACTCAGGGACACAGAATTGTTACTCAGGGACACAGAATCGTTACTGAGGGACACAGAATCGTTACTCAGGGACACAGAATCGTTACTCAGGGACACAGAATCGTTACTCAGGGACACAGAATCGTTACTCAGGGACACAGAATTCTTACTCAGACACAGAATTGTTACTCAGGGACAGACACATAATTGTTACTCAGGGACACATAATTGTTACTCAGGGACACATAATTGTTACTCAGGGACACAGAATTGTTACTCAGGGACACAGAATTGTTACTCAGGGACACAGAATTGTTACTCAGGGACACAGAATTGTTACTGAGGGACACAGAATCGTTACTCAGGGACACAGAATCGTTACTCAGGGACAGACACAGAATTGTTACTGAGGGACACAGAATTGTTACTGAGGGACACAGAATTGTCACTCAGGGACACAGAATCGTTACTCAGGGACACAGAATCGTTACTGAGGGACACAGAATCGTTACTGAGGGACACAGAATTGTTACTCAGGGACAGACACAGAATTGTTACTCAGGGACACAGAATTGTTACTCAGGGACACAGAATTGTTACTCAGGGACACAGAATTGTTACTCAGGGACACAGAATTGTTACTCAGGGGACACAGAATTGTTACTCAGGGACACAGAATCGTTACTCAGGGACAGAGAATTGTTACTCAGGGGACACAGAATCGTTACTCAGGGACACAGAATCATTGAATTAAAGAGTATGTCAGACAACACGCAGAGGAGTGGCAGAGGAGGCAATGTTTAAGGAGCGAGCAGACGTGGCAGCAGAGGAAGGGGTCGAGGCAGCACTAGTCGCAGCAGAGGCCAGTGCTCCCGGTGTCATCCAGCGGTCGTGTCTCCACCGACAACCCTGCCGTCATCGATTGGTTGGCTCGGTCGTCTTCCTCTTCCCAGGTCACCTCTGACACCTACAGCCAACGGTCGGTGGGTACGTCAGACACAACCGTTAGTTGGCATGGCCCGGGAGCAAGCCCACTGAAATCACGTGTCCTCTACCTGCCCCTGTCCTTTGGTGTTCCCTCACCAAGCGAAGTATCGCATGCTGTGGGCTCAGCCCCACTGTACAGTGAGGAAGAGCTAACAGAGGGCGGTCAGGAACGGGGGGGGAGACATCCGCCTCTTCAGCAGCCAGGCAAAGAAGTACTGGCGAGGAGAGTGGCTCGGTAGCCGGTCTAGAGACAGGTCTGTCTCCTGACCCACACGCAGCCGAGGGGACTAGTAGTGAGGCGGGGACCCTAATTGATGATGATGAGGCTGATCGCACTTGGCAGCCTCGTCGTCATCTGCCAGGCCCGTAATCTGCCATGGGCCCCCGTACCGACTCCTCATGCTGCTGCCAGGCCCGTAATCTGTCATGGGCCCCTGTACCGCCTCCTCATGCTGCTGCCAGGTCCAGAGTGTGTCATGGGTCCCTGTACGGCCTCCCATTGCTGCTGTCTCCATCGCCACACTCTGCCATGTGCCACTTTCAGGTCTCCTCACACTGCTGGTGGGTTCCATTTTGTCATAGGGTGCTGGCAGATTACGGGCCTCCCATTGCTGCTGCCAGGCCCGTAATCTGTCATGGGCCCCTGTACCGCCTCCTCATGCTGCTGCCAGGTCCAGAGTGTGTCATGGGTCCCTGTACGGCCTCCCATTGCTGCTGTCTCCATCGCCACACTCTGCCATGTGCCACTTTCAGGTCTCCTCACACTGCTGGTGGGTTCCATTTTGTCATAGGGTGCTGGCAGATTACGGGCCTCCCATTGCTGCTGCCAGGCCCGTAATCTGCCATGGGCCCCCGTACCGACTCCTCATGCTGCTGCCAGGCCCGTAATCTGTCATGGGCCCCTGTACCGCCTCCTCATGCTGCTGCCAGGTCCAGAGTGTGTCATGGGTCCCTGTACGGCCTCCCATTGCTGCTGTCTCCATCGCCACACTCTGCCATGTGATACTTTCAGGTCTCCTCACACTGCTGGTGGGTTCCATTTTGTCATAGGGTGCTGGCAGATTACGGGCCTCCCATTGCTGCTGCCAGGCCCGTAATCTGTCATGGGCCCTGTACCGCCTCCTCATGCTGCTGCCAGGTCCAGAGTGTGTCATGGGTCCCTGTACGGCCTCCCATTGCTGCTGTCTCCATCGCCACACTCTGGTGCCACTTTCAGGTCTCCTCACACTGCTGGTGGGTTCCATTTTGTCATAGGGTGCTGGCAGATTACGGGCCTCCCATTGCTGCTGCCAGGCCCGTAATCTGCCATGGGCCCCCGTACCCGACTCCTCATGCTGTGACGTTGCAACAAGGTGGAATTCAACCCTACATATGTTAGACCGCCTTTATGAACAGCGAAAGGCCATCACCGATTTCCTGATGTTACAAGCGGATAAAGGTACTCCCCTGTGTAACTTAGATGTCAGCCATTGGCAGCTCATGCGTGACACCTGCCGCTTGCTCAGGCCCTTTGAGGAGGCCACGCTATTCGTGAGTCGGCAGGACTATGGGATGAACGACGTCATTCCTCTGTTGCACGCCCTGGAACAAATGCTGTTAACAATGGCTGGTCAGGGTGCGGTAGACGTGGCGCACAGATCTCAACGCCACATGACCCCTGTGGGGGCAGGACAGGAAGAAGAGGAGGAAGTAGAGGAGGACATTGGTGCTCAGGAATTATTGAGTGAAATGGGTGGTTTTTCCACTCAGCGGACAGGAGTGGAGGAGCAGGAGCATCTGGTAGAGGAGGAGGAGGAGACAGAGGACCCAGACGCACCGTGGCAGTATGCTGTGGAGATGGAGGCAGGGAGTCCCTCGCATTCCTTGGCACAAATGGCCCATAGCATGCTCGGTTGCTTGCGTAGCGACAGCTGAATAATAACCATCAGACAGAGGGATGACTTTTGGCTGTCCACCTTGTTGGACCCTCGCTACCGTTCAAAAATGATGGCCTTTTTCACACCTGCTGAGAGGGAGGCCAAAATAACGTACTATAAAAACCATCTATGTAGTCAGTTGGTCTCTGCCTTTCTGCGCCAACGTCCATCCTCAGACACTGTGGGCCCTGTGCGCTCGCGTTCCGCTGCCATGGCAGCAGGGGAGGGGTGGGGTGGTAGGAGCAGTGGCAGCTCCACCAGCAGCGGCTGCCTCAGTCTGCAGTCGATGATGAGTAGCTTTCTTCACCAGCGCAGTGAGGAAACTACTAACCAGCCGCAGCAGCAGCAGCATCAGGTGGACCTGGAGCAGGACCTCAAACAACAGGCTTGGGCCTACTTGGACAGCACCCTGCCAACCGAGGTAGACAATCCCCTTGACTACTGGGCAACGAAACTTGACCTTTGGCCCCAACTAGCTGAATTTGCCCTTGAAAGGCTGTCATGCCCGGCCAGTAGCGTGGCATCGGAGCGCGTGTTTAGTGCGGCAGGAGGTATTGTAACTCCGCGGAGGACACGACTGTCCACCCAAAGTGTGGAGAGACTCACGTTTGTGAAAATGAATCAGGCGTGGATTAGTCTGGATTTCAAACCATCAGTTCCTGACACAACTGACTAAATCCGCCATGAATCATGCCCCAAACATGTTATTATTTTTAACATAGGCCTCTGTATGGCCTTCAATTTAAGCTGCTTACGCTTTGCCACTCTGCCATGGGCCCTGTACCGCCTCCTCTTGCTGCTGCCAGGTCCAGAGTGTGTCATGGGTCCCTGTACGGCCTCCCATTGCTGCTGTCTCCATCGCCACACTCTGCCATGTGCCACTTTCAGGTCTCCTCACACTGCTGGTGGGTTCCATTTTGTCATAGGGTGCTGGCAGATTACGGGCCTCCCATTGCTGCTGCCAGGCCCGTAATCTGCCATGGGCCCCCGTACCGACTCCTCATGCTGCTGCCAGGCCCGTAATCTGTCATGGGCCCCTGTACCGCCTCCTCATGCTGCTTCCAGGTCCAGAGTGTGTCATGGGTCCCTGTACGGCCTCCCATTGCTGCTGTCTCCATCGCCACACTCTGCCATGTGCCACTTTCAGGTCTCCTCACACTGCTGGTGGGTTCCATTTTGTCATAGGGTGCTGGCAGATTACGGGCCTCCCATTGCTGCTGCCAGGCCCGTAATCTGTCATGGGCCCCTGTACCGCCTCCTCATGCTGCTGCCAGGTCCAGAGTGTGTCATGGGTCCCTGTACGGCCTCCCATTGCTGCTGTCTCCATCGCCACACTCTGCCATGTGCCACTTTCAGGTCTCCTCACACTGCTGGGCTGGGTTCCATTTTGTCATAGGGTGCTGGCAGATTACGGGCCTCCCATTGCTGCTGCCAGGCCCGTAATCTGCCATGGGCCCCCGTACCGACTCCTCATGCTGCTGCCAGGCCCGTAATCTGTCATGGGCCCCTGTACCGCCTCCTCATGCTGCTGCCAGGTCCAGAGTGTGTCATGGGTCCCTGTACGGCCTCCCATTGCTGCTGTCTCCATCGCCACACTCTGCCATGTGCCACTTTCAGGTCTCCTCACACTGCTGGTGGGTTCCATTTTTTCATAGGGTGCTGTATGGCCTCCCATTGCTGCTGCCTCCACTGCCACACTGTGGCTCCACACTCTGGTTTTGGCCCCGTGACTGCCCAAATGAGTGAAGTGTGCGGTGATTCTAAGATCGACGGCACTCATCTGCATGTCATACTGACTGACAGTATTATTTCTCTTCCCCAGCAGACTCCAAGGGCATTTAAATTAAAGGTACAGTGTTCTGCACTAATATAAAGGCTCTCTGAAGCCTAGAAAACACCCTTTTTATAAGTTAAATTCGCAGCGAATATATTCGACTCAAATCAAATTTATTCCGCGAATTCGCCGAATCAGCCGAATCGAATTTTTGAATAATTCGCTCATCTCTAATCAACACCATGGCCAATTCAATACTGTTTTGTAAACCTACATTGAAAATGTCCAGGCCAATTTCAGAAAGGTGTACCAAGTTGTTATGATATAGACCTGGTGAAAAACCTTCCAAATCAACATGAAAGACCTCCAGACATAGCCAAAAAATTGTGAATTGTGTGATCAAGACATCTCTGAATCTTATCAATGTAAAGCAATTTTCTGGCTGGAGACCACAATAGTCCAGGAATCATTTCTGAAAATAGAAGGACAGCCTGAGGAAATAACATTTTAAAAGAATACAAATCTCTTTTGATTTCTCCCAGGAGGTCCCATGTTCTAACTACCTAAATCATTGGCCCCAGCATGAATAATCAAGATATCAGGCATAGGCCAAAAATCTGATAAATAAATGAGATGATCTGTAAAATGTTTCCATCTTAGACCCCTGATACTATACCAAAGAACTTGAAATTTATTATTGTCCAAACCTAAATTAGTAGAGTAAATCCTGGATTCTACCTGTTTCTTGGCTCAATAAATGAACGAATGGGCCACTATCCAAATAATATATTTAGAGGTACCTGAAAAAAAAATTAATTAATGATCAATTCAGGGTGAACATAAATCTTATAACGATCATTGCCCCACCTACCAACCCTCTTTAGTTCTTCTGGAGAAAAACCCAAAATACTAGCAGTAGTAGCTGCACCTATTCTAAATGAATATGAGGAAAATTGAAAACCATGAAGACTGAGTTTTTTAAGGCCTGAAGACAAGACAGCTGAAAATTGAATTAGATGAGTTAAATCAAAATGAATAAAATATGAACTGTTAAACAATGGTCGTACAGACATAAATTTGGATGAGGCCATAACGGGCAAATATCTGAATTGGGAGTACAAAACTGGGTAATTAAATGGCCTTTGCCTGAAATATCAGTCTTGGATCTCCTGATGAATAATTTCAAGGAGTTACCCCCTATGGAGACATCTGAATTTAGAAGGAATGAACCAGATGTTTTATTGGGAGCTGTAAATTCCCTCAGTCTTAAAGCTCCAAAAAATGCCAATGTAAAGGCAGAACAAAACAGAAGGACTTCAAATGAAGAAAAATAAACTATGCCTAAAATTGCCGAAATTCTTCCTTTAAGAATTTGTTTAAGCTGGATGAAAAGATGATAATGCAGGTAGGCCTGAAAAACTGAAAAAATGAATTAGATATGAAAAAAAGGATAAAGCACCATAAGAATTAACAGCCATACAATCAATATTTCTGGTAGAACAAAAAGAAAACCATTTATCCCAAGAGCTAAGATAATCTTCCCAAGTTTTAGAGGAAACTGAATTCTTGAGAGCACATGAACTCAGTCCCAGATCAAGCCCCAGAGGAAATCTGGGAAAGGGAAACCTGCTGGATCCGCTTTCGGAGCTAGTTCCCGAAATTTGTGAACTGGGAACAAGATGAAGCATACGCGATTACATTATTAACTCCACCTATATGCTTTGCTTTCAACCAAATATTGTTTTTTTTACTAGAATTTTAATAACTAACTCAGATTTTGAAGTCAAACAATTTATTGCGAATAATACACCTTTATTGTCGGTATGTAGCAAGACTCGACGGTTTTTAAATATATCCATCCAAATAACAAAAGAAACTACTACTGGTCAGAGCTCTAACAAAACTAAATTGTGCAAGATTTCAGAAATTTGCCACATGATATGCCATTCTGAAGCAAACCAATGGCCTGCTAGAAAGGCACCAAAACCAAATGACCCTGAGGTGTCTCTAGAGAAACCTAAAGCAGAATCATCAACAAAATTTAACTGCCATATGGTGGAGCCATTAAAGCTGATTAATAAAGAATCCCAAATTTTTAAATCTTCCTTGATTTGTTTGGTATGTTAAATATAAAAATAAGGATGTTTGGGCCCTAAGTTGTTCAGGCTAAATGTCTTGAAAATTCTCTTGCTACAGGAATGACCCTTGCAGCAAAGGAAAAAAGGACCAAGAGTGACTGAACTTCTTTCAGCAAAGCTTTGAGATAGAAAAGAAGAAATCAACAAACAAACCCCCTTCCAGATAGAGGTCTGAGACCACCCATTGAAGAAAAGTAGAAAACGCTTCAAAGTAAAAGCAGGATAAAAAAAACCCCCATGGGCATACATTTATCAAAAAGAAAGAATTATTAAAGTGGAAACCCAGCGAGTTAAAACCTTGTGGGTGAACTGGTAGTAAATGGAAGGCTGACTTATTGTCAGCTTTAGAGAGCAATGCAAGTCTGCCAAAATGTCTTAATAACATATGAGTATCGTCAAATGATGCATAAGACACAGTGCACTCAAAATCAGATACTTCATCGTTAAGAGAATTACCTATTGGATATGACAAATGGTGTATTAAACGAAAGGAGCCTGGTTCACATATGGGGACCTAATGGTGATAATCTAAAATTTGAAAATCGAGGGAAAGAAAAGGGAACAGCAATTCTATCTCCTTCTTTTTTTTCATAAACAATATCTGGATGAGTAATGACTGAATGCAAATTATTCATTAAACTACAGCCCTTACCTGTAAAGATGGGTAATAGGAAACCTACCTGAAAATCATTATGCAAAAGATCTGCCATTTTGGTGTTTGGATAGCGGTGAGCCAAGGAAACATTTTTTAGAGCTTCACTGGCTTCTTGGTTTTTGATAATATTGTCACAAGGTTGGGGTTGAACTGCTGAGGCGGAGGTCTTACGAAAGCATCAGACTGCAGGGTGTGAACCAGTGCAATAGGAGCATTCGTGTTTGTACCAACAATTATATAAGAATTTACATTGTCCTTCATTGAAAGCAAAGCAGAAGCCTTTACGAAAGGAATTCTGAAGATTGAGGTAACTTCTGTGAAAATTGGGATCTCTGGGGTAACATTATATTTAACCAGAGTCCAACGTCTTTAAGTCCACCGCGTAATGAAGAATGGACTGCTAATTTTTGTCTAAAATTTTCATCGAAAGTGAACCAAGCTGTGCCACCAAAATGGCAAAAAGCTTCAGCCACTATATCCAGATGTTGGAAAAGGCCATAGCATTTTTCTGGAGAATGCTCACCTAGAACAGCTGCTTATATGCAGAAGGCTTGAAGCCAATTCTGGAAAATTCTAGGGATTGCCCTTCTCCTGTTTTCTATCTGTCTTCTGGTTTCTTTTCAGTTTTAACTACTTTTTGGAGTCTGGAAGTAAAGATAATATATCTATAAATTTGCCTCTCCATATTTTATCTTTGAGTGAAGCAGACAAATGAAAACCTAAAGGTGTGAGCTCACCTGGAAGAGTTTCTTTCATACAATTTTCAGGAATTGTAGATTTATTCATTGTAACTGGGTTCAAGACCACTAAAGGTTTAGCAACAGGATTCACAGTAGATAAATTAATACAAACAAAAGAAACAAATATAAGAATGTCTACACATTTGTAGTTGCAACAATGTTCTGGGCGAAGTGGTGTATTATCTGAAAGAAATGCAAGGGTGCCAATATTGTTAAACATGACTGTATACTGTATGTGTATATATATATATATATATATATATATATATATATATATATATATATATATGTATATATATAAATAATTGCTTCACATACAGCTTGGCCTAAACTTGTAGTTACTCTTTTATTTATGATACATCCATCTGCTTACGATACCTTTAGTTGAATTAGCTGGATATAATGCAGGTTACATCCATTTGGCTAGATTTTTGCCTGCTGTAATTAAGCTGTTGGGACTGAATATTTCATCATGCTGAGTTATGTGATACATCTGATGATTCATACCCTTCGTGCTGCATCAGTCTGTTTAAACTTTTCTTACAATTTTCTGGCTACAGTTTAGGTTTGCTTCAACCAGTTGTACATTATTTATGAGTATTTATTATTAGTCATTTCTTGTAAAGTTGAACTAATGGCAAAACTCTTTTTTTTTTTTTTTTTTTTTTTTTTCATTTTAGATAGAGCAAGGGAAGATTATAACCCTTGTAATTTTTTTTTTTTTATTTTGTCATCTATGTCCAGCTGAGATAATTTCCCTTCATTCCTGTCCTATGTGAAAGGAAAAGTGATTAGAAATTCCTCCAACGTAAGGGAATTCCCTAGTTTTCATCAGGGTTACTAGAACTACTTTCCCCAGTGGAAGATTTACCCTATATTCCTGTTCAGGTGACAACCCAAAGTTTGGGATTTTCTTTCACTTTTACTCTTGGTGATAACAGTAAACAGGACAAATATTTATTTATTTATTTATTTATTTATCGAGTTTATATAGCGCCAAAGGGTTTGCTCAGCGCTGTACAATAGAGGGGGGACAATACATGAAACAGTACAGTAACATCAAACAGCACACAAGGGGTAAGAGGGCCCTACTCTTTCGAGCTTACAATCTAGGAGGGAGGGGGTAGAGGTACAGGAGGAAATGGCTGTGGGGGATGGAGTGGTAGGAGGAGGGAAGGGCAGCGGCTGTTAGGTGAGGGTGGGGTAGGCTTCCCTGAAGAGGTGGGTTTTCAGGGAGCGCCTGAAGGTGAGGAGGGAAGGTGACAGTCTGATGGATTGGGGTAGTGAGTTCCAGAGGATGGGGGAGGACCTGGAGAAGTCTTGCAGTCGTGCGTGGGAGGAGGAGACCAGGGAGCAAGATAGAAGGAGGTCCTGTGAAGAGCGAAGGGTACGGGTAGGGTGGTACTTGGGAATCAGGTCGGTGAGGTAGTTAGGGGCAGTGTTGTGAATGGCTTTATAGGTCAGAGTGAGCAGTTTGAATTTAATGCGTTGGGCAATGGGGAGCCAGTGGAGGGAGAGACAGAGGGGGGTGGCAGAGGTGGAGCGGCTGGTGAGGTGGATGAGTCT